GAGCTATGGGATCGGGGAGAGCGCGTGATGAATGCTTAAATAATGCGCTTAATCCTGTGCGAACATAATTTATGGTGTGCGGATATGCATGAGTACAGTACAAGCCGGCAGTGGGTACAGCGAATACAGGCGAGTCGGTCAGCAACACACGCTGTTTTCATTGTTATTACACGGACGTTGTTGCCGCTGACCAATCTGTAAGCCCTCTTTGCCGTCCTGCCGGTCCGCTGCCATTTTGGCCAAATTGATTAATTACGGTCATTCGGGGACGCAGCAGCGCTGCATAAGTAGCATAAAATGCCATAAACCGCAGGCCAGGAGTCTTCAAGTCATTTGCCACTAAGGACAAAGCCGCCAAAAAAGCGAAATTACTCAGGCGTAGCGAACAGGCCAAGAGATCTTCTTCATCTTCTTTGGGCCAGGTCGGAGCTTGAGCCTTGCCGCTATATGCCGCAATTGATTTAAGTTACTTGGAGAGTTGGATACGGGGGGGCAGTCAGCATGCCAAAATATGGTATATACGAGAATGTATGTATATATAATTGTGAGTAGCCTCTGGGCGTGCTGCATGTTCTGTTGTAAGTAATAAGCATTTTTATGTCGCAATTGGCCAGGGAGGGGTTAAGGGCAGGCCAAGAGTAATGCTTAACACGCCGTTGCCGCTGACATGCTCAACTTGATGATGATGCTGCAGTGCCGGCGGCTGAAAAGCACTCTCTGCTTGAATAATATTGAAATTAATTATTTTTGATGGAAATTATTAAGTAATTTTTATGTGGTCAGGTTTCGGGGAGCACCTCTGCTCTCTTCCCCCCTAATTAATTGTATTTATTAAATAACATAATAAATTAGCGCTTGCACTTGTTGTTATGCTTGCTCCAATTAAGGAAGTGCCACTCCAAGACGATCAAAATGTCGGGCCTGAAGTCCCGACCAAATTGGCTATCGGGTCAACCGGTTTTGGTTTTTTTCGTTTTTTATTTTGGTTATTTTGCTGTAGCCGGGCTTTGTTGATAACGCGCTTTAATTAAAAATCTGCATACATTTTTGGGCAGTTGCAAGTCTCGCTGCTTTTTCCCCCATATCGCGATCTTATTTTTTGTTCCCAAAGACCCGCCAAAAATATCAAAATCAAAAGCGGCGCTGGCTCTTTTATGACAGATCTCACTTTAAAGTTGACGTCCGAGCTGTCAGAAAATAACACTTGAAGTCTGCGAGGAAGATGCAGTTTTCCCCTGCTTCCTTCTTGGCCATAAATTTCTGTTATTTTGGTGGATTTCTGATGTGAAGTGAAGTTAATTTAGCCAGCTGTGACTGACACAAAAGAAGAGCAACAATGTATAAGCTTGTGCACACGTGATTATAAAAAAAAGTGTATTAAAAGGACATGCCTACTCAAAAAAGATCAACCTACATCATCGATTTTGTTACCGTTTTGAAAATTATAGATCATTCAAATCGAATAAGTTTAATGTTTTGCACTTTTAGTATTCTGGAATTATACTGTACTGTTACTGTATAAAGCCACTTCCAGTTATTGCTTAATATTTGCACGCTTATCCTTCATGGTTGCTTTAACGGGTTCCAGATAAAAAGCCGTCTTAATTTTTCAAAATTATAACCTTCATGCTTGATGGTTTTCTGACGAAACTGGATGCTTGACCAGAGAGTTCAAAGGCCCCAAAATCCGCTTGCAGTAACTAGACAGTATAAAATACGAATCACTTCGGGCCATTTGTAAAAATGAAATAAGGGGCTTCTATTCAAATGACCAATAACCGAATGTATAATTTTATTTCACTCCGAACTTCTTGATGGGTTTTTCAACGGGCCCTTTCACATTTGCACATAATAATGTTTTTGGATTTGGCTTTTTGGAAAGTCTTACTTCGATAGCCTGTGAAAATGATCTCAGATTTGAGGAACGAGATGTGATGGGTGGAGATTTGGGCATATTCAAGATGATTCCATGTGCTGTAAACAATTTGCAAATGGCTGGGGCAGCTTTATCTTAATGATGCATAATAAAATTATGGCGGCAATCATCGGAAATCAATAACAGGCCGCAGAGAAAGTAATTATTGGCCGATCAAGTGGCTCCGACACCCGTCAAACCATCGGCCTGGCTCTTATCCGATAAGAGAAGCTTTGGGTTAAGACGCGGCCGAGATGAAAGTCGGGGTGGGGCATGAGTCCATCTGCTGCTTGTTTGCGCCCATCGTCACTTGATTGAAGGCCCAGAATGCAGAAGCGGGCAACAAATCAACGCCTGGACTGCTTTTTGCTCTTTGCAAACTGACCTACAGCAGCAGGAGCAGCAGGAGCAGCAAAAGCAGATTGCAGATACCAGTTCTCTGCCTCCAGTTTTATTGATGCAAATTGCATGCCCTGGGCCCTGTAATCAGTCCGCGTCCGAGGGCTCTGTGCGTGCAATTTGAGCGACAAGTCGATACCCGCCAGCCAGCCAGGATGGAATTGGGTCACATTCGGTTGCGTGGAGCTCACTTAACCGCGATGATTGGCCAAATGGGAGAGGGCCAGTGGCGGCGCCACCTAGCGCCCACTGCCTGCACTAAGTCACTCAGATTGATTGACAGCCCCTTTTGGGATGAACGCCCTGGTCTGCTCCACTGTCCTTGCCATGTAACGAGCTTTAAATAGCTTCAATTACTGGCAGACATTGCATAATACACCGCTGGGACTCGGAGCAAGTTCCTGCTCCTGCTGCTGCTTCTGCTGATAATCCCCCCCTTTGAGGCTTTGAACTTAATACTGGCCGACGGACGGATGGACAGGGCTTGACGAACGACAACGGCACGCCAGGAGGTCATGTCACAAAAATATCCATTAACACATCATAAAAATTAAAAATTAAGAAACCATACGAGCGAGGCAATAAAACCGCAATGCCTGTAAAATAAAATAGCAGTACAGTGGAATAAAAACGCCAAGGCATGCCAAGATAATCGCAGACGAGAGAGAAAAGTGAAACCGGTAATTATGCATTATGTATGCACGCCACCAACGCGGCGGATTAAAATGAGGAGCTGAGGAGCTGGGGAGCCGAGGAGCGGAGGAGCTGGGGACCAGGATGGCCAGTGTGAGCTGGCCAGTGTCAGAGCCGGCTTACTGTCTGCCCACGCTAAGTAGGAAACACATTTTTGCGTCTCTGTGATTTTGGCAATTTACGTGCCTTGGCGCGCGACCCGCAAACAAAAGACTCAAGCGACGAACCAGCAGTAACATAAATTTCACTTAATTGCAGAAGGCAAAAACCAGAATGCATTCAATCGATAAACAGAGTGCAGCAAATAAATGAGCTCGGCACGCTGGCAAAATGCTTAATACCAACCAGCCGCTGGCCCTGCGAAAGTATGCAAAGCACATAAAATTAAGTAAAACAAAAGCTGGCCAGAACATTTATCTCCACTTCGATTGCGCTTCCATTGAAATGCATGTGGAGCAGGGCAGTTCAACGTCTTCCGCCTGAAGATCGCCGCTTGCAAATTTGTCGCAAGATCAGGCAACCACTTCCCAGTAGCAGTTGCTCATTTTCATGGTGAGGGGGCTTATTTCTCACTCGCAGGCAATGACAGTGAATACTCGTACACTTGGAGAACTGGTATACAACTTAAAATGAAACTTAAATAAATTGAATGTTAAAGAAAGTCAAAGATTGGAATTTAAGTTATTACCGACGCTAGTGATTCTAAAAGATATGATCCAATTTTTTTTTTTAATATTATTAGGTCTTTCTTGTAGTGGGCCTTAAATTTATTAGTTTGCTTTAAAAATTATTTTTTTTTTTACATCTAAAAATATAAAAAGTTATATGTTGATTTGTCAACGTACAGACTAAACATTGGTTTTCTTTAAGTGTAGCCTCGCACTCCAAACTTTTTACGTTGCTTTTTGGTCATTTTTCCCCCCTTGCAAGTGTTAAAGTCAACAATCGTGAGAAAAGAATTTTATTGTTGTTTAGCCTGTGTGTGGTGGAGCTGCACTTTTTTCATGCCTTTTCAGTCATTTTGTTTATTTTCATTTTACGGATACTGAAGGTCACACAGCCTTATGCTTTGATTGCCGACCGCGGCTGGGCCAACTTGGAGCTCAAGTTGAATTCTGTTTTCGTATCTGTATCTTTTTGGCCGTTTTTCGACTGCATATGATGCCTGCCAGCCAGCCCAGTCAGCCCAGTAAGCCCCAAAAGTTGCCTTTGTGGAGCTCGGCTTTATGTCTTTTTTTCTGGCTTTCTGGCTGTGGCTCATGTTAAATTGTCCGTTTCATGTTTCTGCTTAAATGTCAGTTGTAATTTGTTGTATTAACCCATACCACATGAATTATGTTTAGTTCGAATGTAATTGATTTGAATGCAATTTGAATGGCAACAACACAGCGACTCAGCAACAACAATGGCTGTACGAATATGTATTAACAATAACAGCCACAGGAGCGTCGTCGGCAAGGCAAATTGAAAATTGCCCTCAACTCTGGCCGAGATTAAATGGAATTATGCAAAAGAGCTGCCTGGGAACGGGCTGCGGCGATCCGAACACGATCTCAATGAGAACTTCATCAAGAACTGGGTGCAGCTGGGATGAAGTGGTGAGGTGTTGCCTTTGCTAACAATGTTATCGATACATGTCGGCATTATGCCAGATATCGCATCACGACCGCCTGTAAACTCTTGAAATTAATCAACTTTTTGGCGCTATTTCATTGTTAAATGCACAAAATCACCTTGTTCCATAACGGCGTTCTATAAATAACTTACGATTGTTAAATGCTGTAACGAACGATAACGTTCAATCACAGCAAGCCAAAAGTTTATTGCAAAGGAGCTGGGAACCCTAGGAAAATAAATTTTATTTTACCTACAGAGCGTTACCTACATGTGTGTCCCCCTATATTTTGTATTCCACAACCTGTCGAACAAAATAAGAGTGACACAAGTGCAGCCAGTACGCGAAATCCGCACTTGGAATTCCAATTTAGCGACCATGACCTCTAATCCGTGCATTTTCTGTTTAGATGAGCAGAGGTATCCGCAACACATATCCTGCGGTCATTCCTTTTGCGCGGCGTGCTTCAGGAAGTATTTGGAGCTGGGTCGAGACAAGCGATGTCCCCTCTGCAGATGCGATTTCAGGGCGGACATCCAGCCTGCTCCGCCCCACGATTCTGCAGAGGAACTCGAGTCCTTGCCCGGAACTGAGATGGACACGCTGGTGCTGACTCTTTCGGAACAGGAGTGCTGGTTCTTTGAGCAGCTCTACCGGGAAGTGCAATTGACAAGCCGTCGTGACTAGATTGTATCGTAACGAACGTTTTGTGATATTTTTTGTCTTCATATATTTGTATATACATTGTATATTTATATCTCATCGTCAAACATTTTTGTCCGATCTTCCTTGGAGTGTGCTTCGCAGAAGGCGGATGATTGCTGGTGGAAACCGCTGTTTTTCAATAAAAGCTAAAATAACCCTGACATCAAAACTTCTATATAAAATAAGTTGTAAAAGTTTTTCCATCATCATCACTTTTAAAAAAGTTTAATACGAGTACAAGCTGGTATCCGTCTGCCAAAAGATTGTTCTGCTTGCTAAGGCAACTTAAAATAAACCCTCACAGCCTAACTCAAGCACCCGGACAAGATCTAAGCGTTCGAGTCAAGTGCTTAGCCTGGCCAAAAGCACAGCCATGGCGGGCTATCGCCATCTGAGCCTTTTCAGCGACTGCTCATCCATCTGCAAGTGGCCAGGTTGCTCCATCGATCAGCATTTGTATCTGCTGGTGCAGGCGCAACTTAATTAGACGCTTAGACTGGCTAATTGCCGCGCAGTCGGGCTGATAAATTGATAAGCCCGGCCACAGATGACCAGCTAACGATGGCCATTAGCCGAAGTGACAGCGGCAGTTGCGGCAGCCAAACGGGCGGCTGAAAAATGGTGCAAAAATGTTTATTAAATGTCCGTGGCTGACCGGCGGTCAGTGGAGCGGGCCTAGCCCAAGTCCGAGAAAACCCCAAAAACCACCCAACTCTGGCTGCATTTGCTGCATTTGTTTGTTTGCCGTTGTCTTTTTTGGCGCTTTATCGCACGAATCATTTCTGGCTGGCCGTTTTGACAGCGTTTTGAGTCAACAACATGGCGCATGCAGCAGATACAAATCTAGGCGGCACATTATGCAACGGCCCGGCGATCGTGCAAATGCTAAGAGCCAAAAACTATCTCATGGATTTGCGCAATTTGTCATCCTGGAATCGGAATCTGAATCTGAATCGGAATCGCAATCGAAATCAGGGACAAGAGCCGAGGGGATATACCATTTTTGCCTGGGAGTGCGTGTGTGCGGGCGTGGCCGGCAAACAGTTTTATTGATAAGACTTGCCAGGCCGCTTCGATATTGCATTTAGTTGGCCAATTATTAATGCCCCTTGTCGCCGGGCCGCGTGTAATTTGTGGCAGTTGTTCGGGCTGCTGAGCTGCACCAACTGAAATGCGATACACGCCGGCGATTGCTCATTTATGAATGTCCGACGATGGCCGCGATGTGCGATCGTCAATCTTCGAACTTAGCCACGCTTACATGTGATTTAACAAGCTAACAAGCCGTGGCTCTGGCCTTATCGACGATTAGCAGCTTTCGATAGGACAGCATGGCATGGTAGTGGCCAGATTGGTTTTGGCCATACACTAGAACAGGGTTCACTGAACGAATGGTCGGATTTCAACAGCAGGCAACGTGCCACATTTTCAGCATTTTTATTATCGCAAGTCATTTGTCAAATTGCTAAACTGACATTAAAGCCGCCTTTCCTGTGGGCTGATAAACCAATTTGACATTTTCAGCCGGTTGCGATGATCGATGGCTGCGCGAGATTCCCTCGATCCACCCAATTCCTTCCAACTGGGAGTGCAGGCTGGTGACATTTTTGCGCCAATTTCGGTCGCTGGGCCATCAGTTAAGAGTTAAGAGAGCCAACCAGCCAACAGCCAACAGCCATCAGACCTCAAGACCCTCAATTCGCATTTTTCGCTTTCAGTTTTTGCGGGCGAAAAGCCTCGTTTTTTTCGGGGGGCTTTGTTTTGTTTGGAGTTTGCCGTTTGCATGCGTGGGAGTTGCACGAATTGTGTAGTTAAATAATGCTCCATGTTTGTCCTGCACGAGACCCGCGAAACACACAAAACGAAACGAAACCAAACCAAGCCAAACAAAACGGGTGCACTTAAAGAAAAGTTTTGGTGTGCAATGCGGAAAAGAGGGATCAACAATAAAAATTTACTTACATTTTAAAATGCAAATAATCTACGGCCTTATGTACTTTGTAATCAATTTTTAGTTGATTTTTTAAATTTTAAATTCGTTATCAATAGACTCGAAATATTCGTAAAACTTTGATTAAAAATCATCTTTAAGCTATCAATTATAGTATCTTCGTAACGCTCATAGCTGGTGTGGCACTTCCCTTTCAAACTTTCTTTCAATCACTTTAGATGCAACATCCGTTTTATGTTTACCAGCTATTAAATCAGATGTTTAGCGTTGGTTTTTGCAGTGCCGACAAACAAGCGAAATGAAACTGGTTGGCCGAGAGCGCGGAAGCGCTGCTTAAATGGCAACTGGAGCAGCGTTTTGGGTGGCCGGACGGATCGGGATCGGGATCGGGATTGGGTCCAAGACTGGGGTCTCGAGACCCGAGTCCCCGCGTCGAGCAGCCAAGTCTGGAGTCGGAGTCCTACTCAACATAGTACCTGGCAGCCGTGCCGGCCTTGCATTTGATGTCGATGTTGCTGCCGCCGCGCCGCTTTGTTTAATTGATAGACGACGATGACTGCGACGACCCACGCGGCGGCGTAGCTGCGGAACCGGGGATCTGCTGCGGATTTGGCTTCCAGGCCAGGAGGAGCGAAACCGGCGGCGGCACGCGATGTCTTGACTGCTGCGCTCTTTGGCGGCCGACCGCCGGTGGCAGGCAGCCCATCGAACTCAAACTGTGCGCATGCGCATGCGCATGCAACAGAATGCGACGTCGCGGCGTTGACAGATTGATGCCCCCTAACTCAGTTAAGGCCCCCGCTTCATTATTCAAATTACTTGTGTGTTTGTGCGGAATTTATCAAAGTCCCCTCGCAGCCACACAGATGTTTGTAAATTAAAAGGAAAACAGAAATGGACTAGGAAAAAGCAGGCTAAGGTTAGCATGTGGGCCAGTTGTATATGGCGTGTGTTCGCGTGGGCGTCAAATGCTGTTTTCCCCGGCTCGAAATAAAACTATTTGCAGGTCAGTTAAGATAGGTTCCGCCGTATCCCTGTCCAACTTTCCTTTTGGCTAAGGGCAGCTCAGCATTAAGTGGGACAGAAAACGTATCTGTAACTGCAACTTCAACTTCCATTTCGACTGTGACGCTGACTCGGCTGGGTGCGGCATAAATTCTCATAAATCTATGGCCCAAAAATCAGCCATATGTATGTACATATGTAGATAGGTATATACACATGCTGGCTGGAGTAATTAAAGCAGTTTAACATGTCTGTGAGTTTGGCCAGTTTTTGGAGCTGTCACAACATCAACAAGCCTTCATTCATGCATGCTCTGCGAATGCCACAAGCCAGCCAGTTAGCAGAGGTCCGTCATTCAGTCAGTTTGGCAGTCTGTCAGTCCGTCAGTCCGTCAGTCAGTCAGTGGGGCAGTCATTCAGTCAGCCAAAAACTTGCCATAAATCAACTCATTTGAAATGCATCAAAGGCAGCAATCAGAAACAGAAACAGTAACAGTTACAGACACAGAAACTGCCCAAAAGAAAAACGCAGTCAGTTGCACAAATATTTTTACACGTACCAGCGATTTCCAATTGAAATCGAACATTCAACGGAAAGTGACAATGCGCGGGCGGGGCAACGAAAAAAACCAAAAAAATAAAATGGTAAGCCTCCAAGAGACCAAGAAAACACGGCTCAACTGTCTTGGCCAAATCGTGTTGCACAATGTGTGAAAACAGGATCAGAGTCCTGCCTAAACATTTGTCAACCCAGCGGCGTTTATATAATCAACAATGCAGATTTTTGATTTTATTTCACTTTTTTATTTTACCAATTAAACAGTTTGTCTGCTAGCCGGCAACAAGCATCAATCAAATGGTTTTTGCTGTTGGTTTCGATTTGGTTTTGGCCAGACTGCTGTGACTACTGTTGGAATCGCCCTCGGAATGCAGATTGTCTGTCGGTTGGCTTATGACAGGCTTCTGGCCATTTGGGGCGTGGCCATTATTAGCATCGCCGGCCAGTGCTTAATTGATTCGGTTGTTGGCCATGTTAATTGACAGCACGCACGGATGTAACATTGCGATAGTCGTCGACACAGGCTGACACAGGCCCAGTTAGTTGGCCAGTCAGCCAGTTGTCAGTCAGCTGGCCAGGCAGCCAAGGAGTTCGCCATGCGATGGCTTATACGATGGCTTGTGTCGTATAAGCCACAATGGCAAACTTGGTAAATTTCACTTATCAAGAGCCCAACAATTAACGGCCACTGCGCGAGCTATAAATACATATAAATGTCAGGACGTCTGGAGCCCTGCGATTCGTGAGTGGCCTGACCCACATGCGATTGGCAACTGCCAGCAATTTGCCACCTAAGCGAGAATTATGATCGCCAGCATTTTCCGGGCTAGATAAGGCGGCACAACTAATGCGCAAATCCAGCTGTCACTGCCTGAATTCGAATAGGAATACGAATCTGACTGAATCAGATTCCGATTCCGAAGTCGAAGCCGAATCGGATACTTCCCACCAGGCTCCACACAAAAGTCAACAGCCAGCAGAGCGGTTTCGTTATAATTTCTATTATTTTCCCTTTTGGCATAATTGCAGACAATTTACTTAACGATCAATAGCGTCAAACGGCAGGCAGCCTGGCTGGCAGGCAGCGAGCCGACAGCAGACATCGGAAAATTTATTAGCTCCCGCAGCTTCAGCTTCAGCATCAGCATCAGCATCAGCTATAGCCCGGAATCTTGGCCATGTGTTGGCCTTTTGGCAACACACACATCTGTAGCTATAGTACCCAATCTAAACCATATCCGCGTGAGAGCCAAGCGCTCTTCGTGCCCGGTTTTCTATCCTTGAGCCCCGGCTAATGCGACTGGCATTTTTCTTGACTTTGTGTGCTTTCTGTTGCCATAAAACATTTATTTAAAATGGAGCAGCAGCGTTTCTCCACCGCCAGGCCATGATGTTTGGGCCAACAGATGAACGCTGTTCATATTTTAATTACGCGGCTTTATCACGTCATTGCAGCAGGGTGGCTGCTCCAGTTACGGAGCATTCTGAAGGCCCAGCGGATGAAAAGCGATTAATCTCCGATTTATGGGACCGATACGGAAGTCCA